TAACAAATTCATCCACAATAGGTCCAATTCTTGCATTCCTGACAGTTACTGCATTCATCGGTTGCATATCTTGAATAAACTGTAGTGATCCATTCTTCTTAGGTACTGTAAACCCTCGACTAGAATGCGGTGTAAATGAGGGTTCCAATATTTTCATCTTTTTCTTTTTTTTAATAGTTCCACCAATTTAGGTAAATGTGCCCTCGGTATTAGAATCGATCTTAGATTCCAAGGTACATGCGATACAGTGAAGATAACTATAGGTGTTATAATATTTGGATCCATACACCCAATTTCATAAGATGCGAAGGCAAACGATCTACCTTGTTTAGCCAACATCTTATTGAAGCAAGTAATTTCCTCTGGCAATAAAGAACCATTAGAACCAATCTTCAATTCTTCAAAAGTCTCTTTAATAAACTGATGTCTAATTCTCATTGGATCTCTTAAACTTGCTTCTTTTGATACTTCTTCCATTTGTTCCTTAGAATCTTTTGGTAATGGTCCGGCAACAGGCTTTACCTTCTTATCTGCCATTTTATATCTCATCTCTACAGTGACTTCTGGTGCTTGAAAAGATTCAAGTATGGTATAAACCTCTCTTGAATGAATCTCAACAATCTTATCATTATCCCCTAATCCAATAGGTATAATCAATTCCAATGAATCTTCTAGTTCATTTTCTTCATAAACACCTAAAATCCTCTCATCATCTTGCAATGTACCTAACTTGCATAATTCTCCTTCAATATTATATAATCTTTTTCTTTCTTTTCTTTTAAAATCATTAACTTTCTTATACATAATATTTCCATTCTCCAAAATACCAATAAAACTCGCATCAAAGGCACCTTCATCTAGCAAGAGTACCTCCTCTTTTATACCTCCATAATCTCGCTTTATAGTGGTACCTCCCCAAAATCCTTAAATCCTTCAACAATCTTTGGCAATGGTTTCTCCCTCAACCTATCTCGATTCCGTTCATGGTTAGGAGGTACTATTAGAAATTGCACAGCTTTCCTCCCATCTTCGCTACGTACCCTTGCATAAACAAAACCATGGTCAAGTACTTTTATTTCCATCCGTGTTCCCATAATATAAGATTGTCCTAAAATCAACGGATAAGACGTTGTATCTTGAACAAAGAAATGTTGCTCCGTCGCAACATCCCCAATCCGAATTTTGACATCTGGACAAGCTCTATATAATTCGCCCCGTGTGTTATTAGCTGCTCGTATTGCCCATTCATGTTCCATATCAATTGGCCATTTTTGCTTCTTATAAAGATCTTTAGACATAAGATTTATTTCAGAACCATGGTCGACTAAAGCAACAATTGGTTCTTCTATATCTCCTACTTTCACTAATACCTCAGTAGTTGCCCTTGTCCAATACTTTCGAGTATAATAACTCAAAGTTTCCATTTCTTTATCACTATAATCTTCGAAACGTACTCGTTGATTATACTCATTCTTTTCATTTGTTGGTTGCTTGTAACCAATATCAACCTCTTCTTCATCTTTATATATTCTTGCATCAATAGCATGACTCATTCCAATTTCGCCTATTAATTGCCTCTTTTGCTTAATGCTATCAATGATAACATCATGAAACTCCTTCTTTGTAATTCTCAAAACTTCTTTCAATGTGAATTCCACCTTAGCGTTTAATATACGTTCTTCCAACACCCTTTTCAAATTTGTTGCCGCTTTAATGTCAAAAAGTAGCTTATAAGCAATTGATTTGGCTTTATCTTTTTTCTCCTCTATTTTTTCTTCCAATGATGCTGAGGTATCCTTTATAGGCAATTCTTGTGAAGTTGCCTCCCGAGCCTTGTCTCCTCGAGTTTGCCTCTTAGAAGAATTTCCTTCTCTCGTATCATCAAAATTTCCTCGTCTCTTTTCTTCCATCAAAGCTTCATGTTGGCTCTTAGCAATATATGCATGAACTGAAAGAGAGTCAACAGGATCCTCTTAATTTGTTGCACCTCATATTGTAGCTGCAATCCTCAATAACGCTTCTCGAGGTAATTTTCCTTCTTGCATTGTAGAAATGGCAGAAGCCCAAAACTCACTAGTTTTCGTACTTCCACCAAGGTCATCATCTACTCCAGCACCATAACTTGCACTTTCTCGTGCTATTGTTTCATGCTCTTTTAAGTAATCTTGAACTAATGCTTTCATTCCTCCCTTGCCAAAATTGGTTTGAAGAAGATCCTCTCTATCTTTTAATGCTATCTTCCCATCTTTCCAGCAAATAATTCCTTGCCGTATCATATTATTAAATTCATTGCAATCTTTCCTAGTGTGTGAAGTGTCATCACACCAAATGCATCTTTGTACATATCCTTGTTTTGAAACATTCTTCAAATTATTTGTAGAAGTATTCTCTTCAAGTCTTGCCAATTTGATTTGAAGATCTCGCATTCCTCGTATAATTTCTTCCATCTCCATATCTACTTTCTTTGATAAGGATGTCGAAGGTTGAACTGTAGGCATTGTTGGTGGTGTTGTACGTATTGGAGCTTTGGGTGCTTGTACTATTTTCGAAATATTGCTCCTATCCTTCCTCCTTTCTCTTTTTGTAAGCAACCCCACCGCATCTTCAACGTTCTTCCACTTTGTTGTCAATCCTTCATCTTCTTCTTTGTCTTCAAGAAGGAGTTCTAATTTCCCTTGCAATTCTCCATCAGCAGCTTGAAGAAATAGATCAACTTTGTTCGGCTCCAATGTCAATTTTTCTACCTTCGATAATTGAGAGTACTGCCTCTCAAATTCCCTTAGTAGCTCTATTGCTTGCAAATTCTTATTAGGCCGTTCAATCCATTCTAGAAACAGCTTCTTAGTAACGCAATTAGCATCTTCCAAGAAATATTCATCTTTCAATGCATGTGAAAAAACCTCCCATGAATTCCCATAATGATCCATAATCAGTGTAATATGGTCTCTTATCTCCGGTATCGTGGCAAGTCCAAATAATTCAACCATTTTCTTCTCAGAAACTCGATTTAATTCCATTTCACGAACATAACATCTTAAATACCTTGAAATATTTCTTCCATCAAATTGATCAATTTTATTGACCACTGCTTGCAATGCTTTGGTTGCCAAAGCTTCCTTTCAATCATTGCTTTGCTATTGCTGCATTGATAATGAGAAGGCTTGAAACATACTAGCAATAGATGGATCCATGTGCATACCTTGTCCTTTAGAAGAACCCCCACCAGAAACTCCTTCGAAAGATCCTTCAAATTTTTTATTTTCGTTCTCCATAAAAATAAAAATAAAATCAAACGAAATCCAATACCTTCCACCTCAAGCTTTCACGTCGGGTTTACCACTTATGTCGTATTACGTGCTTTCCTACTCGAGAACGCACCGGGCGCCTGGTTGTAGAAGGTAGTATGGAGATTCGCTAATATTCAAGCAGTCTATCAATTTTTGACTATTAGAATATAAACGATTGTAAGAATATATCGTAAATCTATACGGATGTCCTTCGACTACTCGCCGAAATCCTTTTTATCCTAGCCGGTAGGTCTCTAGACGTTACAGAGAACCCCGAACAATCCAATTTGCTAGTCACCGATATCGCTTTATACTCACGACCTCGTATCCACTGACTGTCTTGTTAGATTAATCCAAAAAATTTTCATTCACTCCGCATACTCAATCCTATAGACACCCTTTTAATTCTTCAATCACGGACGTAACTTCGATTTCACAAAACAGTCAAGAGTAATCACACTCACTTCATTAAAACCCCAATTCACCAGTTCAACACTGACTTTCAACAACGATTGCCTCAGTCTTCCCAAAATCCTATGAAGAAAAAAAAAACCCTAATTCTCTGTCTTTTTTCTCCCCGAAGCATGAAGCTAGCTCTCCGACCCCTTTATTTCTTAACCTATCCTCCCTTTTAATCCTAATTCTCCCCTCTTTCAAATCCTAGCCTCTGAATTTCTTCAATCTTCCGTCTTTGATCCGTAATTGGCTCCGCCGTCAGAGCTTTCTCCTCCGTTTTTTTTTTTTTTTTTTTTTTTTTTTTTTTTTCCAGAAACAACGTTCCCTAAAACGGCACAGAGAACAGGACAGCCTAAAACGGAATCGAAACCCCCATAATCGGGACTACATTGAGTCGCCCGACCAAATCAGGTCTCATATTGGCTAAGAGGCCCATAGTAAGACCTGGATGTTCCCGTAATTGGATCAAATTGGTCCTTTGCGTCAGGCTCGCTTAGTCATCGATTTAGTCCTTTCGATTCTGTTGACTCCCACTATTAGACTCGAATGGAGCATTTCATTACTGGTAAGTATGCCCTCACCGATTGTGACGGGGTGTCTGAATTGGCCCCTGAATATTGGCACTGGAATCAGTCGTTGCTCCCAATATTCAAAGTAACTGAAGATTAATAAAAGTCCCCTTTCTTTATATTTTCACGGTATACTCGTGTTACAACACGACAACGTACATCAACAAAATAATCAAATAATAAATTTTATTTTTATATGAAAGATACAAAATCATGAATTTCACATGCCCAAAGATATGAATAATTTTAATTGACAAAACTTATGCATATGATTAGAATACATTAAAATATGTGTAACAAAAGAAAAAAATATATTTAAAAATTATTATCATTAATTTGTTTACATTCACATGTCCAGGGCTGGACGTGCCCCAACCCGCTGGCTGGAGTTGGGGCAGCAGATGCGGGCAGTTTCATGCGGGCGTCGGGTGGGACTCAGTAGGGCAGCTTGGGTGCTCCCGTTTCTGGGCAGACCCGGGCAAATTCTGGATCGAGCAGGTTCTAGGATTTCGACAGCGGACTTGGGAGGCTTATGAGGCCCCAAGTCCCAGATTCGGTTGTTTTCAGTTCCACCAAAACAGTACAAGCATAATATCGCTTCCAATTTTGTTGATTTCCGAAGGCAATTACAGTTTAGGGATGATGGCTACCACGGATTAGGCTCAGCATTACGGAAACAGCGCCGGAAGACAATGCGAAATACCATGTGGGTAAATTCAGTTCATTACAGTTAGAGTGTGTGAACAACAGTTCTCCTAATCCGCCGTTGAGAGCTCCGGGAGCTGCACTCGCCAATCCTCCTACTCTACTACTACTCTGGGACCCTGCTATGTCCACATGTTAATCCACATACACTACTGCTCCCACCTCACCTTCCTGGTCTGCCAAACCTCCACCATACCAACCGGCAAGGTTCCAGGTCTCACAACCTCCAACCCACCCCACTTCTTCAGTATTCCCTCTCCGAAGCAGGCAACGATCCACCTCCAATAGGGAGTCATCGAATAATAAGTCCCAGAAATCCCTCCAGTGCCCGTCAGCTTCGATAATTCGTCCGACAGCTTTCCAAGCTCCGCTACCATCTCCGATGATAACTGTACTCCATGCTCAAGAGGCATAGTTGTCAAATCTTGGTAAGCCTGTAGCCATAAGTAACGGCGCTGCTCGCGATTTTGGATATACTCCTCGTACGAAAGAAAAGGCTCATTTCTCAACGACTTATTTTCAGTGTAGGGTCTAGTGGTGGTGCCATTGTCCCAAGACTCCTGCGACATCGTGTAACCCTCCTTCTCGGCTTCTAATGCGGTATCGAAAACCTGCTTAGGATCCTCCGGCAAGCCCTCACGCAGACAGAGCTGTGAGATGAAAGGAGATTTTACTTCCAAGCCACCCATGGCTATGGGCCACATGAACCATCCAGCTGGGATGTCATGGACACCGAAACGTTCTTGAATCACGGTCGCCAGATAATCGATGACGGAGCCTCCATGTTCGGGGAAGAGCGCGAGCTGAATGCGCTGGAGGGTGCTGATGACCATGTCCACATGCCGCTGGCCAGAGCAACACGCCGGAGGAGAACCGAAGTTGTTAACAAGGGACGTCATGTACTTGTTGTACGCCTGAACCCAAGCAAATACCGAGTGATTACACGCTTTCAGTTGCAGCTTCAGCTCTTCAATATGGGCGTCGACTAGGGATTGATCGATTACAAACTGCCCAGTCTCCTCAAACTTTAGCAATCCCCATTTGATGGTTCCTACGGGGAGATCTGGATGCAGCGGTTCCCCTACAGAGACGGACCCCGTCTTCTCGTTGTTGAACTCTAACCCGACGATACGAGCAAAGTTGTTCATCTCTTGCCACGCCTCCACGCAAGGCTGGGACTCTTTATTCCACCACCAGAAGTCATCATGTATGCGGTAGAGGAAGAGTCCATTTGCTCTCTGGTTGACAGCAAAATCCATGGGGAAAAGCACAACTTCGCCGAACAAGTCACTCAGGCTATGACTCATAGGCGTCCCGCGTTTCCGAATTTGCGTGGTAGCCATCGGGCCGTCTGCGACGAACTTGATCGGCGCCGAGAGGAATTTCTTGAAGAAAGTGAGCCAAATGTCGGGAACACCGAAAAATTTGAGAGTAGCAAGAATGGAGCTGTGAGGCAAGCTGGGGCCAAACCAAGAAAAGTCTGACCGCACAACGGTGAACTTGTTATACAAAAAGGTGTTAAAGAGGCATTCCGTCACTAAAATGTGGAGCAGTGATTGCTTGATCGCCACCGCCGACGGCTTGTCAGTCTTATTTTCTTCTCCCTCACCATCGTCGTAAGGACGTGCCCCGTCCTCGAGACTCTCCGGTAGTTGGCTCATGAAGAACGACTTCATATGCTCCGCGTGCCTGAGTTGGTCGACACTTTTAAACTCGCTGTATTCTCGGTCTTTCCAATCGTTAGGGTCTTCATTCAGGAAATATTGGCGCCTTTCGTTCTCGACCTTCGTGAGTGGCTTATGTGGCAGCTTCCAGGCTGAGCTTCGGGCAAACTTGTTAAACCAGTGTTTGAACTTTGCTGCCCATTGGAGACCAATCCAGTGCAAAAAGATAGCTTGCAGAATCTCCTCGTCCATGTAAATCCTGTACTTCCCATTCAGTTGCCTCCGCATCTCCACGGCAATGGCGTCGGTAGACGAGCCCTCGGGGATCCAGGACCATGAAGGAAGCGCTGCGAGATGCATGTTGAGCACGTCTGCTACTTCAGTTAGAACCGTTTTGTTCGATAAAAACTCCTTCAGAGTTCCGCGTTTATCGTTGGACAGGAGGTCAGCGACTAAGAGGGAATTTATGGTTGACTCAAGGTCCCTGATTTTGAAAGAATTCCTAAGGAACAATTTTTCTTTACCGAATTCGTCGAGGTCTTCACGCATCTCGAGGAGAATTCGGTTGGCTTCTTTCGGTGAGAAGAGTTTGTCCAGGTAAGCGTCAAGAGCCACAGTGTTAATTTCTTTGGCACTGAAGACGAGCGACTCGAAAGTAACTCGCTGCTCGTGCATCTCCTTCCTTCCAACTCTCTCAAATGTGTCTGAATCTGAAAGCGGCAATTCCACATCATCGAAGGAAGTTTCCTCACTGCTAGTTAAGTTTGGATCCTGTGATGCCTTCTCCGGAAAAGAAGCGGAGCTGGCGATCCACTCGCTCAATAGCCTACCAAATAGCTCTGCGTATTCAAACTTGACCTTCTCCGTGTTGAGCAAATTATTGAGATTGAGCTCCCACTGACGCAGGATTGTCTCGCTGATGCTTGGGTCATGCTGGGCCTGCACTAGAAATTCCTTGACGTTGTCGAGGTAAGTTCCAGAAGATGATGACGAGGTCTTATCCGTGCTTTGCCAGGAATTGATTCCATCCAGAAGCATCTGAACTCTTTCGCGTGCACTCTTGGCATCGGCGACCGAGGCTACAATCTTTTCACTGTGGATTTTGAAGTCAGCGTGTTGCTTGGAGAGCACAAGGAGCTTGGTAGCAGTGATAGCATTGAGAGTTTGTGTCAACGAGGACGACATAGCTGCTGGTCTGAAAGACGGATTGAATCATATGCTTGTCACTTGACGAAGCAGGGAGTTCACAAACCACCCCAGCTGCTACCCGCCTAAAAACTTTTGTAGCAAGAGAACGACCAAAGTTACTCAGTCTGAACATGCAGAGCAGGACGTGTAAGAACCCTACCACCACTATTTGACTGATCTCACAAATTAGAGTGTGTGCACTATCAGATTACACTTATAAAAGTGGCACAAAACCCTTCCATACCACAGTCTCATAGTCACATCTGGCCCGAGAAGTCACCTAAGCCGCTTCAAAGCATGATTTTCAAAGTCGGCTAATCTATCGACAATGTGTTCAAACCAAACACTAAATGGACGATCAAAGAAGATGCTATGTAGAATCAGAGCTGCTCAAAAAATCTTCCTGGGAGTTCTTTTGCACAGACGACAAAGCGTAATTAGATACACTCTGTTGCGGAATTATTAAATAGGTTGAACCAAAGCTGGACAATTTCATAAGATCCTAGGAAGTAAGACACCGGAGCACGTACCTCTGCTCAATGAGCATCAGAATCCTTCACCAATTCGTTGCAAGAGTGGCTGTAGGAGTCCAAGCTTCAGACAACACTTGTGGAGCTAATGCGCATTGATCATCGTTATAAACCCCTCGAGACCCCCGGAAGACTTGAAGCGTAATCTCCCGTACCTTGCATCGCACTCACTTGCAAGATTAGACTCTCCGGAAAACCTCAACATTCGACTGTAACAGATCCCTACGCCTACTTAGCAGATGGCTAAAACACCTATATACAGAAAGCTTTCGTCAGATATTACACCCCTAAAAGTAGGGCTGAACCATATCGATGATGATGGAAAATCGATTCACGCGCTCGTGTAATTGTCCAAAACAAAACCTCTGGGTGACTTGGACCAAAAGATAAGGAAGAGTTTTCGGTTTGACCATATCGCATCACGCAGTGTGGACAGAATTGCATTTCAGGGGATGAAAGCGAGGTCTCCGGAACAGCGGTTGTCTGCAATGCAACTTGCAGATGGACCACATGCACAGAGCCGAGAGTATAATTAAGCGCAGGTATGACGATGAAACAGATTGTGTCTGCCAACTCAGGGCCGGGTTGAAAGATGTGCCGCCGTTCTCTCTCACACACTGAATTTGCTTTTCGCATTTCGGTAGTGACTGTATGATTTTCTAATCTCGACTTGTAACTAATTCTCCGACGATCTCATTGAATTATTTTTGCAACATGAGGTGATGGAGCCCTTTGTCCTAGTGCAAAGTATGTTGTTGTTCGTGTGTGGGATATGTTGAGAGTCCATTCTCTATTGCATTATATATATTTATATGCAAATATTTTGTTTGTTTGTGGTGGTTTTTAGGATTTGTTTATGTGCTTTGAATCAACACATTGTATTATAAGAGGGTTATCAATTTATGAATGAATTTGTTTGGTGAAAGAGTTTTTTTGAAATTTATATTTTTGTTTAATTTTCATTGGGATGTCCATATATATGATTTAGGTTATTCTTTCTCCTTTTTGGTTAGAAATTTGTAAGAGAATATATTTCAAGACTGTTTATTTGGAAGCAAAAGGCTAGGTAAAAATCATTTGATAAGGATCTGATTAGAACATGTTTAAAAGAGACAATAATTTTTTTTAATATATTATTAAAAATTATATATTATTATTATTTTAAAAATAAGAAAATGACAATACTTGCTACTAATTATTTGAAGCATTTATCTTTGCTATGCACTTATAATTACGTCTTTATTCTAAATAATCAAAATATATCTATTTTTTATATATGTATGTGTGTATATTGTAACTTAATAGGTTTAGTGGAAAAAAAAATAACATCACTTAAGAAACTAAATAAATTTACTAAAACTCATATCCAAGATTATGATAAAATAATATTATATTTTAAAGTATTTTTTATCTAATCGTCTGCTACCATTATCAACACTTCACCATTACTTGGTTTGCACATTATTCATGACAATAACTAGAATACAACAATAATAACACAATGTTAGCATAAGAACTATGTAATACTATTCTAACTTGCTCACTTAACTCATTTAGTTATTTATTCACTCCTTCTAAGGTATAAGTATTATTCAAGCGTGCGGTTGCAAAAGAAGATTCAAAACAACCATGTAACCATAGTTAAATAAGCAATAAGCAATAAGCAATATACATCATATTAACTATTTTGCACATCTTTAATTGATTTCTAGTTTGAATTGTCTCTACAAGGATTGCCCTATAATGTCTCATAAAAAAATTGTATCATGAATGAAAATTAAAAAATTAGATATCTCTATAGTTAAAGCAAATACTCTAAGATATAAAGAGACATATCTCTATGTAAGGACTAAAAATGAGTTATTGATTCTCAAAGCTCTTTCATAATCTATCATAAGCAATATCATGATATGGACGTCTTTTAGTTTGAGGCAGACTTTGATAGTGACTTTAGCTCTATTCAAATCTTGCTATTAGACAAAATAGCAATAGACAAGTACATGGACTCAAGAAAAACATATAAGTAATTTATTGAGTTATTTAAATAAAGTAAAAAAAACACAATTGAACAAGTTGAAAATTCCATAAAGCATGAGAGTAGGGGCAAGCTAGACATAGGATTAGATGGTAAAAACATATCTATCTTATTCGTTGAAAACGTTGCAATTGACTTATGATTAGCTCCAAATTTCACTACTAAATATTTTTTTGTTGATGTAAACATGTCTAATTTGAAATTGGTAGATGAAGTTGGTAAATAAGATCTCACATACACTAACTTGAAATCTGTAACTTACTTCCTAATTCCACTTGCCATCACAAAAAGTTCAAATGCAAAGAAAAACAATGCAAAATTTATCATGAAACTTTCTAAATCATTAATGTTAATGTTTGTGAGGTGTAGGAGCAAAAGGCACCTTGCAACAAGGAAGCATACCTAAAGACATATGATCAAGCCCTATAAGGAAAGACTTGTATTAATGGTTATGGGGCAGAGGAGGAAGAAGGAGGAGAGGGAGAAGGAGGGAAGAAAGGTCACAAAGAGGGGCAGAATGCCAATGTGCCTTGTCTCTAAAAAAGAGTAAAAAAGGAAGACAAAACCTTGGATCTTCTTTTCAACCTATGTCTTCTCAATGTATTGATACACAAGTTGCACTATATGATTCAGAGCTCATGCAAGACACATAGTTTGTGTTTGGCGCTCCATTTCAAATTTTTGTCACTCTTATACAATCTATGCAACAATTGCCCGTGATTCCAAATGTCACATACATTTTCAACAACTTCTTCTATCATACCATGTACAATTTCCTTGACCTATATAACAAGAAAGAGCTTAAGAAAGCCATTGGAGCAAAAGTGGAATATGGAAGATGAACAAACTAGGGTTTTAGAGTTGTTTTTGCAAAAAACTCACAATGAACTAATTGATTATCTACAATGGATGTTTGAATTTAAGTTACCTCATATACATATTTTCATCCTTTGGTAGCATAGTATAAAGTGTAGATTGAAAGCATATTTAGGTGCCACAATTATCAATTTTTGGGAAAAAAAGTTGTGAAAAATATGAAATCCTTCTGAAATCTATTTCTCTACACTGGGAATTTTTTTCCTCATTGTACCCATACTGCAGATATGAGAAATTGCTTAACTTGTCGGGAATGGGTCATCTACCTTACGTTGTGAGCCACATGGCATGCTCTACACCTCGGCCCTTGCGCATGTGACAAGCGTGACAGGGCTGTAAGTAATTTATCAACTAAATTTGGTCGCAAAATAGCTTGAGGCAAAGCTGGTGAGAATTTACAAAGCACCTGGGGCTGGGGATATCACGTAATACCCACTTATTACGTTCTGAAAAACTGAGCCGTATGTGCACGTGTAACTAGCCGTGGTTGAATTATTTGCTTGGTTCAGTAGTCGAGTAATCTAATGGATCAAAACTGAGTACGTTGTGAAATTGGAACTGAAAAATGCAATCTGAGAATATTGCTTACTGAATTTGTTTTTACTGATTTCGCGATTTAGAAGAGTCTACTATTTATTCACATTCTAATGTAGAGGTGCAGTTCAGGAGAGGGCAAATTTTAGTGATGTTTGGATGTAAACAAAAAGAACTTTCGTCTACGATTCACGTCTGCAGTTGAGACTAGTGTTGGAGTTCATACAGATAACTTGATTCCCAGCTTAGTATCTTTATTTTCAAGGCGGCAACTCCAATACATTCCAGACTGGAATAGTTTATGATACCACTAAGTAGTCCCTTTATTCATCCACTCCAAAGGGCTCAGCATCCATTGAATTCCATTTCTCCAAACCAAAATGAAAATCCTCGAATTTTGTTGGCAGCTAAATGTAAAGTCAAAAGTGAAAAGACCTACACGTGAAGAAGCATGACGTTTTTTTCTTTAATATTGTGACGTGTAAACAGTGAATTTGCGGAAGTGCCGAAAGGTGCATGCGCCTACTTGCACTCTTCTTCGACGCCTGGAACTCTACACAAAGACTTGAACTATTTGCAGTATCAAAAAATAAACATATAAATAAATAGAACTGCTAATCAACAACTTGAAAGACCACTGTTATCATGGCCCAAGATGAACATGTAATGACCCATACCTATCACATGGTGCTACTGTCGATAAAACACCAGGTGAAGCTCTCCTAAAGGTTACTAAAATGCTTTTTCATTAGTAATCTTACTAGGTAACATGGTTGTCCTACCCGAGGAGTAGAACAGCTGTTCTCTTTGAAAAATTCATCCTTCCATGTGTAATATACCTAAAGCCTGCCACACATACTGATCATCCACAGAATTTCTTTTCCACGGCCCACCTAATCGACAAGATGTTGACCATCGAAGAGCAGATGCAATCCCCTAAAATATGAATCCATAGCGATAATGCATCTGTTCAGAATATCAAAATTCTATCCAGGTCCTACAAGCGCATACGACTGAAGAAGCTCCGCGCCTAAATATTTCTGGGATGAATAAATTCTCTCATGCTGCTGAGAGCAATACACCTAAACTGATCCTGATTAGAAGACTGTTCTAACAGCTAACTTATGGTGCATCAATGAATGCCAGAATTGATAATAAGTGAAGATTCATACCCATTTGCGTCTTGGTATGCAACCCCCGCAATTTGCAGATAATAGATATAACAACACTTAAAAATACAAAAGGTTTTAGGCTACAACAGCTGCTGGCCATGTAGCTTGAGAGGACATAATAATACCCACAATAACTCCAAATAGGCCTAGCGCACTCCCAAAGATTTCAATAACTAGAATCTTGACAAACAATGTGGAGTTCTGAGCATCTGAAAGTGCACAGCTGCTCCCTATGAGTCCCACGCACAGCCTGCCAGCATAACAAAAAAAAAAAAAAAAAAAAAAAAAAAAAGGTAGAAAAAGGCAACATTTCATTATTCAATAATTGAACTAATTTATAAGTCCCTCCTGGCTATTAAAAACACGTCGAGCTTTATCAAGTTCTCAAACACACGATAAGCACCGAAAAGAAACTAGCAAAAAAGTTGACAGATTTTTTGAAATTAATTATAGATGAGGGTCCGAAACAGTTCCTGACCCGCAGAGCAAATTCGCAAAGCCAACGATAATTCCTGAAGTGAACAATGAGTACCCAGCACGCATGGAATCAGGGTGAAACGGCTGCTTAGCAGCCTCCAACTTAGTCTGCAGTATGATAGCTACAATCACTCCGTAGATAGCCACTGCTTCGCAGAAAATCACACTGCAGAATACATAAGGCCAATCAGTGGCCAGAAATGCCACTTGCTAATTTAAAACCCAAAATCTTCATAACAGAGCATGAGGGGAAAGGGAGGAAGAGAGGAAGGGAGCGGGGGAGAGGTTTAAAAAAGAAAATGTAGAATACTACAAGTTTCACAAATCACCTGATTAGGTTTTTCGAAGTGATCCGAGGAGCCTTGATTGCTGCACCGATGAGACTACTCCCGGTTACATAAATCCCCCTACAGATGATAACGCATCGAAAATCATCCATAAGGCATCATTGAAGGCTCCGGAAACGCCAATATCGTACATGAGAGAATATATAAATAGAATCAACCCTACGGTATTTTTTTCATCTCGATCACACCTCGGGTGCACTGAACATCGGAGTTTCTTACAAAAAGTAGCCCAATTCCATTACAGCTTCACATACCAACCTAGAAAACTGATTCACGCTCACTCAGCGTCGATGCCCACGTCTCTCACAATAAATGTATTATAGCAATCTATTCATAAAAAAAAAGATGAAAATAGAAGCGCTACAAATGACAGCTGAGATGCGATTACCATGAAGCCCCGAGGACGGACACTCCAATTGAGATCGCGATTCCAATGGCAGAGTAAACATAAGGCGACATGTACAGCAGCGCGTGCGTCCACGCATACCACCACGCCACAAACCCCATTTCTCCACAGATTTAAACTCCAATCCTAACACACTCCTCCTACCCTCCGAAACGGATCACCTAAGCAGAATCACGAATTATCACAAGATTCCAATGGAAATAAATAGCTCCGAATCACAACAAAAATTGAATACACATACTCAACGTCGACAATCCAACCCTGATCGAGCTTGGCACGCAACGCCATCAACCGAGCTCCAGAAAAACAAAGCGCGAGGGAGAGAGCCTCACTGGCCCTTCCAACTTTAGCGCGGTGTGAACGCGGCAATGGGTCACCATTCGAATGGTTACATCTGTATGTGGATGAATGACTCTCATTTATATGGATGACTTGTGGATGAACAGCGGAGAAGAGCATGTGTACCATGAAGAACGTTTCGTGGCAAGGACACGAGGAGATGGCAGGTTAGAAGGTGTGGGAGCATGATGAGATATTCATAAGACAACGCTAGACATGCTTTGTACCGCTTGCGCTTCAAGACTTTCCGAATGGCTCTGCAATTTTTCACCTGTGACTAAAGCTTGGTCGAGCTTGGTGATGTTGTATTGTTTCTGGATCGTGTACTGAACTGCACGATGCGAACTTGTCTATCAGTCAAGCAAAACTCGGGATTCATGCTGTAGTTCGCTGATGCTAGTTATAAAGTTGTGTCTTGACTATCGGACCAGCATACGCAAGATACGTCTCGTGGTTGTTATTACATCTTCGCAGAAAAGCGAGATGTGATGGAGTTTTCGATCGTGTTCACGAACCCTTGGTGTTATTGTTGTTGCTCGACGAAACTATGTGTTCGTGGACATCAGCATTGCTGCTTTGTGCTATCAATTAGACTCTGGTCTGGCTTCCGAACGCACAACGTCTGATCTCAGGCCAATGGTCTGCGAGCTGATGTTCAGTGGGCAGATCGAGATTAGTACATTGCTCAGCAACTCAAGTCAGTTATGAATCTGATGCTTTTACTCTCATTCCCGACAAGAAAGATAAACGTGACTGACGTCTATCCAGTTCATGAATTTGCACTCTTATCCCATAAATGCACCAGTTCTCGTTGCTTCAAAAATCCTCCAACACAACTCAGCAAGATTAATTAAAAGTGGGACACAACTCGCTACCAAAATGTAAAACTTCTCCGTGTTTTGAATATTCTCATCGGAGAATCACCCTGTTGAACAAGCACCCACAAGTCTAGACAGTAAGAGGAAACGCGAATATTGTCCTCGGCACTACTAATCGAAGAGCGCTAATCTCATCCAACCACTGTTGCCAGACTCTCGATGAACAAGCCACGCGAAACTGATCTGATCTAACAGAGCGATCTGACTCCAGAACTGAAACATGGCCGCTAGTCTCATCATGTGAGGCGCTCAGTCAAGCCTATCAAAGCAGTTGATCGGTAATGCAGCTCCCGTCTCTTCGACGAGACTGATCGTTCTCCAGACACGTGCTGGGAGCGCCAGCTCTGACAAACTCACTGCCTTGAGAATTAACTTTCGCGCATGCTACCACGCTGGCACGTGCAGCGGTGGCGACGCAAACGGGAAGAAGAGTGCGCCGCTGAAGTCTTGCGGGGACAACGTTGGACTACATCAGAGCTGGTGACCACTTATGGCCTGCGCTGCGCTGCGCCATCGCTCACATGCTGTCGACGCTCACGGCATTTCGACGCTTGGCCGGACACTCTCCCCACACCCACTAGCCTCTTGCAACCCTCCGTAGATGAGAACTGTTCCCCATCGACGACATTCGTTGAGTGTGTGTAAAACTAGTCTGGTGCTTGATGATGCAAATTTACATGTACATGTATAGGTATTGTGTATGCAATTATATGTAAAACTGTATAATGTATATTGCAATAATGATCTGAAGTTCAAAGCCTTACGTATCATAAATATTTTTTCATTATTGGCATTTGGTGAGCATATTTTCCAAGTTTTAAGTATTATTGTGATACGTGAAATCAAAAGTTGTTTTTGAATTAATGTACATAGATAAATACGTATAATATTGATGAGTAATCAATACACAGATTCAAAAATAAGCATGCAAACATAACACTATGGGTAATCATTCTGAAATGATTCACTTTTAAAGATTACAAAACTAATTCTTGATATCGTTGTGTAAATGTGATGGATACTACACTTCTGATGAAATTATTATTTTGCACATCAGTATAAATTTGCCGTAAATAAAAATGTTAAAAATAAATCATAAAAAGGTATGTAAAACATACCGAATTTTAATTGTTCACCATTCCTTACATTATTAAAGTTAGTAAATATTTCATCACAATGACTTGTGAAAACTGCATCATATAGAATGCAGATTTTAATTATTTACGTAGATAGACACAAGAAATCCAATATTTATTTGAGGTCTTTTGAATACATGTTTTTAGTTTTTTTATAATTATGTTTATCTATAAAAGTATTACATATTTATGGGTAACAAAATATTATATTTAAAGAAAAACGTTATGTATTTATAGTTGAATAAGACCATTAAAAAAGTTTTTTTTAGTTATATTAATGTTTTTGTATATAATTTATTTCTTTCTTTCTTTCTTTCTTTCTTTTAAAGTAGTTGAAAAAATATATAATAAGCACATCGTATGTATTATCAAGAATTAATTTTTAAAAGTAATAAATAAATAATTATCAAGGTGATATGCCAACACAATATGCTTCTGTAGAACCCAAAAATTCTATTGTAATGTCAACATACCACATCTAAGTATACATTTTCAAAATATAACACCTATCATTATTTCTGTACACATAATACAAGTTTGATCTTCAGGTTTCACTGCAATTTTGGACACATAAAAGTAAAAACATATTATTGGTGATTTGAGAAGGGGCAGCTGACCCACAGAGGACTGCCCGTGGAATTTATGTTAATGACCCAGATAAGGTTGGTAAGTTCCCTGCCAATATGCTCTTCTTCTTTTCTGGAGCATAGATGGAACACCTTCTGCGAACGCCGTACCCCATTACGGGAACGTGGGGCACACCTCATAATGCCCGTTCACAGCCTGTGCGAAGCAACTTTCCAGCGCCAGGTCCGAGCAACAGTGCCTTCCATGTCAGAGGGATCCTCGCCCAGATCCGCCTTCTTTATCTCCATCGAACCGTCTTTTTCTTTTATATTGTATTCTTTTAGCTGTCGGGATTGTCCCGGGTGGCTTCTGGGGCAAACTAGGGGATTAACAATCCATTTGTGGAATACTTATATGTATATTTTGGCGTAGGTGGTGTACGGAAGTCAGTGTGGTCGGGCAGGGAGGGATCGCGGGCCGGGTGGAGGCATCTTTCGGCGTTGGGAAGAGAGCTGGGATGGTCCAGGAGAGTCATCGCGGAGTGATTTGGCCGTCAACCTTTTGGTCAGTTGTGAGTCTTTGTCGTTGTCTGTTTCCCCGTCGCGGGTGGGTTGCAAACCGCAATCCGCAATTTGCAACCCGCTGCTGCACTTCTCCATGCCTCCTCCATTCTCCTCTTTCTCTCTCTCTCCTCTCTTACTCGTTTGTGTATTTTCCGTGAATGGTGCCCTTGTGCAGTTCGCTGCACCTCGTGAACCCCTTCGTGCCTCTAATTTTCCATCAGCTTGAGTCTCCTACGAGTTCCTTCCATGGTGGCTCTCTCCACAATCTCGTGTCACATTTCGGGATATCAATGTCGGGGTCTTGTTAAGCTAGTTTCGGATTAGGAGCTGAGGTGGTGATGCGGGCGTTGGAAGGATCAGCACGTTTTGGTTTCGATAGAGTATCGACTGTGAGGGGTACTGCTGTAGGAATCAGGATTACAGGGTGGCACATGATTAGCGTTGCGGTGGAGCTTCAGCAGTGTTAATCATATGGCATGGCGCAGGTGATGTGCCTTTAGAGACGTGGTAGAAAAACCACGGATAAAACGTCGCGTTTAAGAGGCAGACAGTTAGGACTGTCGTGAAGGTTTTTAGGAGAGAGAGCGAGAGAGAGAGAGAGAGAGAGAGAGCGTGCGACTTGCCGTGGCTTATGAAGGGAGGAGTACTTACGTGAGTTGGCATGAAAGGGGAGCTGTCGCAGATGTTGCGATTCGGAAAGTTTGGGAGGGTGCTGACGGCTGGGCTGCAAAAAATGAAATCGAGAAATAGCCTACATAGTCTGGGGCAGCTGTAGTGACTCGAGGGCAAGTCTGCTCTAGAGTCCCTTGGACACTCTTAGCCATGCCTCGGGAGGTGGCATGGTGGCGTCCTTTCTTTCTCATTGCGTTGATGCCCATTGGAGTATTAGGTAACCTTGAAGGTTGGTTCAATATTTCTCTACCTTTAGGCTCAGCTTTGTTTTCTTTTAATGAAAGACATGGTTTCTGCCTCCATCGGTTCAAGTTAGACTTCGGAATGCAAAAAATCTTATCGATTATTGGCAGAAGGTTTTAAGGAACTCTGAACAGCTGCCATAAATATGGTGATCAGAAAGGATGGTATTCACACATTGAGGGGACGACCTGACAAGGCTAGGGTTCGGAAGTGCTGGATATCAAAAGTGTTCGTAGTAGGATTTGCAACTTTTGTGGCATGAAGCAATGTAGTACTCAATTCTGAATGTTCATGTTCATTTGCTTTGGACATGCCATGTTCTGGTCTAAACTCTGCTATCACGTACAGCCTGAATAACTAAAGCATTTGCAGTCATTATTCGGGAAAAATGTCTTATGCTTGTTCCACTTTACATTTTTGATGCAATGAAAGACTAGAAAGGGAATGCCCTTTGTGAGAAGGTTTGTAGGTACGAGGTTGAGTTAGGAAGGGGAATTATGTTAAGCGCGTTCTAATATCTACCGTCAACCAACCCGTTTGAATGTTGTCGTTTGGCACATGATTCGCATCTAAGGCAAACTGCCACAAATTAGGCCCTCCACCTTTCGTTCTAAGCCTGTGAATAGACTGTGAATGTACGTTCGTGTTGGTCAGAAACGATGGATAGGAGTTGGAAGGTATGGTACCTTTTCCGTATGCAGAAAGTACGGGTGCGTCGATGCAAAGTGAAAACCCTGGCCAACCCCTCTGGTGACTTCACCAATATCTGACGTTTTATTTATTTCTTGAAGGGAATCCATTATAGTTTGAATTTCAGTCCTTTTTCCCTCACATCTCTTTACATGGCAGTGGAAGAATTCCCGTTATGTGCAGCTAAGTGTTCTTCAGTGAAAGTTAGCAAGCACTGAAACATAGTTTAGAGCGATGATGCAGGTTTATAGGGTTTGGTTCAAGCGCTTATATAACCATGAGAGCCCCCTTTACAAAAAGAATTTGGTCTATTTCCTAGTCACAGCAATATCCATATGCTGTCAGTTGAGCACCCATTGCAGTTCAATCTGAAGTGGCGTGTTTACTGCTTTAGTGATCTCTGCATGTCTATAGTCAAATATTTAGCTTACCGCATTTAGTTTGCTTAACGTAAAAGTCGCAATTTACCTAGTCCTCTCGCCTGGATCAAAATTCAAGATTCATAATTTGTTCCTTTACATGGTGGTGCCTTAATTTTAAAACCAAGAACTTCGCAATTTGATCTGTTAAGTCCCCTTGTGTTATGATTCTCGTTTTGGGGCTACATGTGCGTAGCCCTCTCTGGGCAGGAGGTTCTTGATGGTTAGTAAAGGTGAAATGGTTCTTGCATGGTTGTTTGGTGGAATTGATAGGCATTTTCGTATTTACCAGCCAGTCAGTTATTTTAAGATTCTTTCATTTACATGTAAAGTCTGCTTGTGACATGAGGTGTAATCGTTGCTGTGCAGGCGATGCACTCAATGCTTTGCGCCAAAATTTGATTGATAGTAGCAATGTGCTGCAGAGTTGGGATCCCACGCTTGTGAATCCCTGCACTTGGTTCCATGTTACCTGCAATAACGAAAATAGCGTCATTCGAGTGTAAGTCCGTTTCGTATCCTACACCTGTAACAACGATATTGGGTTCGACATATGTATCTCACAATCGTACCAATTTTCTTTTTTTTGGTGAATGCAGTTATCAATAGCAACATTGCAAGGTCAACTTTGTGTTGTGACTTTTACAGGGATTTAGGGAATGCTGGTTTGTCAGGGTCGTTGGTGCCACAACTTGGGGTCCTTACAAAGCTCCAGTACTTGTAAGTGCGCTTTAAGTACTCCGGACTGGCAAGACATGGCAGAAGTTTTACAATGACACTATTGATTTCTAGGTTCCGTTTGATTGTTTCAGATTGTGCTTCAGACCGAATTTCTGTTGGTGTCAAACGCTTTCGAGTTGGATATGAATTACTTGTGAATGTTTAATATTGCCCTCACTAGAGAAAGAGCGGTTCTGTTTAATGTATCTAGATATCCACTTTTACACTCGACTTTCTATTTAGATCAAGCACAAGACAGATAGATATGTAATTTTTGAGTGCTATCCTCGAAGTCATCATCGAAGTGAGGCGCTGTTGTAACTGGAATTATAAATGAATGAGCGGCTGATTGTTGTGCTAAATCTTACTTATGATCGACTTCATTGTCACCATTGCAGGGAGTTATATAGTAACAATATTTCAGGAACAGTACCTAAAGAGCTGGGAAACATCACTGCCCTTGTCAGCCTGGATCTTTATCAAAACAATTTCACCGGCACTATACCAGATAGTCTTGGGCAGCTGAGCAATCTACGGTTTCTGTACGTCCTATTTGTTCAAAAATCGCAGTCACCTTGTTATTTATATCAGTGATTGATAGGATGTTTTAGTCGTTAGTGCGTGCCGTATTTAAGTGCCAGAGGTCTGTCATCGTCATGCTTCGTTTGCATTGGGTAATTAGAATCGATTTTGCTCAAACTGTACTTAGTCAAGTTAGATCATATGAAATATCTGAATTTTGTGGCTATGCAAGGGCTATACAGGATGTATATGCATATACATCCATGTGCACGTAATATTTCCATTATTCCAATGGTTCCTTAAATCTTTGGGTTTCTCTATGCGTTTTGACTTTGTTTCATACAAGGGTTCTTCTGATTATGCGTGTTCCCTGTGAATGTTGTTCAGCCGACTGAACAACAACAGCTTGACCGGCCCCATTCCAGTTTCTCTAACGACTATTACTGGATTGCAAGTGCTGTAAGATCCTCATCACATCTATTCGTCTGAGATATTATCGAAAGTGGTGGCTTTTTTTCGTGTATGGCTTTTAACGATTTTGATATAGTTCTTCCCTGTGCTAAAGTCTGATTTTCAACAGACTTATTGGAGCCCTCTTTCGGGTTTGTGATTGTGATTTTTCTGTTATTTATTTATAGTTAAAAGTTCCTCCTTTTGTGCAGGGACCTCTCGTACAACAAATTATCTGGAGACGTGCCTACCAATGGTTCCTTTTCACTTTTCACACCTATCAGGTACCATTACGTTCTGAACTGTCTGCCTCTGACCTCAGTGCCTGGTGTGTCCGATTATTTTGAGATTCAGAATGATTGTTAAATGTAGTTTGAAACACTGGCACATACATATGCATTTTCTTCGTTAAATTGGTGATCGATATCATGTGGCCATCTTAGAGGAACTCGAGCAAATAAACAACGTGATGTTGAAATTGTTCAAGATGTATCACTTATCTTATATGAATTGTTCGTGTCTTCATGGAGTGTTGAGAAGTGTCCCGAATCTTATTTGTGACGTTGACTTAAACGATTCTTACCAGGAGTTTGTGGTAATGTGCAGTTTTTTGGGAAACAGCGATTTGTGTGGTGCAGTGGTTGGTAAACAGTGTCCTGGGCAGCCCCCATTCCCTCCTCCTCCTCCATTCACACCTCCGCCTCCACAAACTCCAAGTGGGCCTTATGGTAAGAATTATTGATTAGTCCTTGTTTTGACGATGGGAATCATACCAAGATATGATTGCATTAGAGCTAATTTGGGGGATGATCTATTAGTGCCATTTCTTTTCTTTTCTTTTTTCTGATTGATAATTATATTAATAGTGCGTCATTGTGTTCTTGTTCCTTGTCCCGTTTCTATTTGCTTCTCAGACTATTATTCGTTCAATTGATCACGTAGGTCGAAGCATTAAGTTGGTTTGAATATTTGAGTGATGTTATGCTCACTATTTTAGAAGTACAAGTCAGTACCTCATGCTCAGGGTTTTTTTGATCGTGTTCGTATGCAGCAAACAACAAACAAACAATAAGTACAGGAGCTATTGCAGGTGGAGTTGCTGCAGGGGCTGCTTTGCTGTTTGCCGCGCCAGCTATAGGTTTTGCCTGGTGGCGTCGTCGGAGGCCCATTGAGGCGTTCTTTGATGTCCCTGGTAAATACTGTACCGAGATTCTGAACAGTAGCTTCTAGAAGACTGGTGAATTTTTGGATTGGCTGTAGCTTATGATGTTTGTGTATTATGGCTGTAATCTTACTTCTGGCCTTTACTTCATCAGAAGTCAACGAAACAAAGTTCAAAAAGTCCCTCGATTGTGTTTCGAATGTATTTTAAATTTATTCTAACTTGGACCGTTTCATGCCAAGTCTACTTTGTATGACTGATCACATCAAGCACCAATGATGTCAACACTTGCCATATTCTCTTCACTGTGAAGCTGAGGAATTACAACCATAGGCGTTCAAAAATTGGACTATATATCACAGAAGTTCCTTCCTGATTGAAATTATGTGTCTTAGGCTGTCTTCGTGTCTTTGTGATTGACGAGTCCATGTGTTGAGTTTCTGCCCTAGTCTTCTTTCAGACAAGTTTTGAATTCTTGCATGATGTTTTTGATGTAGTCTTATTTCTACAATAATATCTGATGCATTTTTCCATTTGTTACTGATTTTTTCCCCTTCTGCTATCACAGCTGAGGAAGATCCAGAAGTGCACTTAGGACAGCTGAAGCGCTTTTCTTTGAGGGAGCTCCAGGTGGCATCAGACAACTTCAACAACAGGAACATCCTAGGTCGTGGTGGATTTGGAAAGGTTTACAAAGGTCGGTTAGCAGATGGGACGCTGGTGGCTATCAAGCGCCTCAAGGAAGAGCGCAGTCCTGGAGGAGAGCTGCAGTTTCAAACAGAGGTAAATTTGAACCAGAATTGCTGACAAGCTTGTTACACTGATATTTTCAGATCAGGCTCTAACCTAATGTCGTTTTGTTCGATGATTGCACTGTACTGAATGACTTTGAAATGATTCACGCACTAAACACTCACTTGACAATAATATCTTTGGTACATGATGGATCAGGTTGAGATGATTAGTATGGCGGTGCACCGGAATTTATTACGACTTCGTGGATTCTGTATGACTCCTACAGAGCGTTTGCTTGTGTATCCATATATGCCAAACGGTAGTGTTGCCTCTCGACTGCGAGGTACAATCGCAACTCATCTAAGAATTATCTCTGGATGAACTAGTGTGCTTCATTTTTCCTTGGGATTTTGACTCCATCCACATACGTATTCTAGGACGTCCACATAAATTGAATGCATCTGCTTCAGTTTATCCTTGGAAAACAAGTTTTTTTTAGGTTGTAAAATCATATTGTACCTTAGTCTGCCTGCTTTCACAGATGAAGTGAGCTGCATCTGTATGGTTGATTGAACAGTCCAAAAAACAGGCCTTTTGGGAGGTTTATCTTTGTAGGAACACCTTTTATAGCAAAGCATAAGAAGGAAGGCTGCACGTCGGATTACATTTTTATGAATATTATCGATTTGTGCAGAACGTGTGGATGAAGAGCCTGCCTTAAGTTGGCGAACCAGGAAGCAAATCGCATTGGGAGCTGCCCGTGGGCTGTCATACTTGCACGATCACTGTGACCCAAAAATCATTCATCGTGATGTTAAGGCTGCCAACATTCTCTTAGATGAAGAATTTGAAGCAGTGGTTGGAGATTTCGGACTTGCTAAACTTATGGACTATAAGGACACCCATGTCACAACAGCAGTGCGAGGGACTATTGGCCACATTGCACCAGAGTATCTTTCCACTGGGAAATCTTCAGAGAAAACAGATGTTTTTGGGTTTGGAATCATGCTTTTGGAGCTCATCACCGGTCAGCGTGCCTTTGACTTGGCACGTTTGGCCAATGATGACGATGTCATGCTCTTGGATTGGGTGGGTTTTCCACAACCACTGTCGGTTTAGATTTTCTGTTTCATCGTTTTGCTTTTTGTGTTTTTCTTGGTCTGCATCATGACAAATGTCTTCGGTTGAGGTTTGCTGAAGGTCAAAATGAATTTGTATATGAGAATTGAATTCGGAAATGAATGATATCATATATCAAAACATCCGTTCTGATGTATCTGTTGCTCTGAATTATGTGGACAGGTGAAGGGGTTGTTGAGGGAACGCAAGGTTGATCTTCTTGTAGATCCCGATCTTAAGCAAAATTATGATCAAAAGGAAGTTGAAGAGCTTATTCAGGTACCACTCAATCAATCGTATTTTCAGCAGGAATCAGGTTACAGCAAGACCTTATTGGTATAGAAGTAGCATTTTGAAGAGGTTTATGGCATATTTTTCATTGCGTAGTTGGTGCATTTTCGCTTGTTCTTATTCTTTTTCTTATTCTTTTTCTTTTTCCGCTCCCCTCTAAAATTGGATAAAAATATTCTCTTCATGATGTAGGTTGCACTGCTTTGCACTCAAGGCTCTCCTTTGGACCGGCCAAAAATGGGTGATGTCGTGCGTATGCTCGAAGGTGACGGACTAGCCGAGCGCTGGGAGGAGTGGCAGAAGGTGGAAGTCGTTCGAAATCAAGATTTGGATTTGCCCCCCCACCGGACCTCAGAGTGGATTGTAGATTCAACAGATAATCTGCATGCTGTTGAGCTTTCTGGCCCACGGTGATTTGTAAATTCGGAAAAAGAAAAAGAAAAAAGCACAACAAGAATGATGTTTTCTTATCGTAAACGTTCCCACTGCTTTAGATCGTCTACATTTGGTCTTGGACAATTACTTGGGTGTGCGATCTCACAACTTTGTTGTCTTAGTGCGTACATTCTTGAAGGAGTGAGATCAGTCGATCAAGGAGTTAACCAAATGCCAGATCTTAGGTTTCGATCGCCGTGTCAGAAGATTTTGACGACCTGTTAGTAGTGTGTAATCAACCCCACATTCTCCTCCTCTTGAATGAGGGTTGAAAGTTGTGCTAGTACAGGTTGGGACATTCAAGTTCCAGAAACGCAAATCTATGCACAGATTGTAGTTGAGTTTTACTTATATATTTTATTAGAAGTTATTCTTAAATCAAAGCTAGTTGACGACCACGCCTTCTCCAGAGGCATGTCTATTACCCTAGCAAAGAAGTTCATGGGTGACGAGTTTGTGGCATTTTGTAAATTATACGCTTTGACGCTGGTATGTAGCTAGTCTCTTCCATCACTCTTCTTTTGCAGGTTTTATTTTCTATTTTTCGTTTTCAAGGTAGAAGTAGCTATCTAATCGGGTTCATCTTGTTGGTTTTATATTTCTCTTATGTGCAAAAGTGTGTCTTGTGCTTTTAATTTCACAACCACCATGGAAACGTACTTGGCATGGAGGATATGCCTGTGGAGCTTTACTTTCGAAAACTACGTGTAACTTTTTCAATTCACTTACCGTATTGTCTGTGGGACTTGTGAACCTGCCGTGTTATTCTGTGCCCAATTCTCTCCGAACCTGTGGCTGCTTTGAAACTGTCATTGTCCTCCTGCTCTCCGTACATTGACAAGCATCAGACAATCAGCAAACATGTTTGTGATACATTACAGAACGTCATGTTTGCTGTGCTCTCTTTCAAGTAACAATTCCGGGAGCGGAATTTAAGGACAGAAGATGGATCTCAATATTCTTCCACCAAGGCTCGCACCAAAACGGAGGAAGCAGACGGATTGGGGCTGACGATGTTCTTCGTCTTCTACTGGATGTAAGCTTGTGGCTGGCGTATAGCAAATGGTGCGGGCATCGGTCAAAGTCTCGCCTTACACACAAAAAAAGCAAATATAAAAAAATAAAGCAGCCAGTGTTTCAGCATCGTCTCCACAATGTTTTGGATCTGAGTAGGGGCGATCTTTATTTTCCGTGACAAAGGGTTAGGAGAGTGTTGGATACCAATGGTGCTGGATCCCCCAAGAAGGAATTTTTTTTGGGCTAGGGCAAGTTTAGGGTTAAATGGACACTTGTACCAATTGTACCCATGTGGGTCTTTGGAGAAGTAGGTGAGGAGTAATAACATAGCTATGGTTGAATGCCTAAATTTGAGAAATGAAGAAGGTTTATCCATAGCACTAGTTGTCGAGAGACATGCAAATCAAGCCCAAATTGATGGTGAGATGCTACCTTCAGGTTTTGAAGAGTAGTTTTTAAGGTTTTTAAAAAATAAAATATTATTTAAATAATACTTTAAAGTAAAATACAAATGATATTTTAAAATAAAATTTTATTTAACCACTTTAAGATGGATGATAAAAAGGTATAAAAAAACAAAAAACCAATATGTATTAAAATTTAGTATATTTTTAACTATATTATAACTACTTGCTTTGTTAGTGATAAATCATCTTTTGTTTCTTTCTCACATAAAAATTTTGAGTCTTGGATGAGCTATTAATGAAAGATCTAAGAGGATGTATTTAAATAAAAAATCTAGACAAAAGATACTTTTATTTGTAATTATACTTAGAAATAACAATTAGAAATATTTTGTCACTCTCATTACATAGAATCTCAATGGAATTATGCACCTTCTAAAATTGGGATCTTAACTTTGATGCTAATGCTATCTTAAATGTCAATTTACTACATGGTCTAAGTGCCATGAAGATCTGCATTTATATTATATTTTAAAAACTAATATATATTTTTTAAACAATAGACCCTTGGATGGCAACTTGCTTAGATTAAGTTCTTGGTGTTGGCCCAAATAAACACAAAATTTATGAATTAAAGTTTTGTGTGGTCTTAAATTTTAGAGATAGATGAAAATAGAAAATATAAGTACCAAATCTAATCACAATTATTTTTTAATGCTAATTAATTATAAAAATTTATCTATAAAATAAAAATCTTGCCTTGATATAAAATACAAAATTAAAAAATGAACCATAGTAGAATAAACTAAGAAAAAAGAAACAAAAATCTAAATAGATCTAAAAACAGTCAAGATATAATAGAGGATCAATTAACTAATAGATACAAAGATTGCCCTTCTATGTTAATGAAACTCATAGAAATGTACACCAACCTCTATTAGAAAATTATGAATTTACTTTGATTAACAAGCTATATTGAATAGCAAACCAATAAGAATAAAAAGTAATAAAAAATAGAATCATCTACAAGGAACAACTCTACATATAATAATCCTTTGTTTGCATGTACAAATAAAAATAGTTATATATACGAACACAATGATCTATGATATATAATTAGTAAGATTTATAATTATACTTCTTTATTTTAGATAATTTCTAAAAAATATTATTTTATTTTTTAAATATAAATATGAGTTTATTTATAAAAAATTAGAATTTATGAATTGAGTATAATTTATCTATATTTAAATTATAAAAAACTTTTGCAACAATTCAAATTATTTTTTATGCATAATGCCTTCAAAAAAAATATAATGGTAATTGAAATGCATCTTTTTTATATTTCAAAACAAAAAAAAATACTTTTGATTTTTGTGGCATTTAGAAAGTCAAAACAAAGTCCACAAAAAATTTCATAAAAAGAAAAATCTATTGTATATTATTCATCAAGCTTGTTCAAAATTCAAAGCTACAATATTTGAATTATTAATAATATTTCAAAGTATTGATTTGTTGCAATAAGTAGAAAAGAAATCAACTAACTTTAGGTTGAATGACTCAAATTTGGCATTAGTAAACAAATTTTGAAGTCAAGATAAATGAAACTTATAGATTTTAAAAAATTAACTTAAGAATTGCTTGACTAAAGTACTTGCAAAAATGTGCTACATGAATAGATCTAATTAATGTAAATTATACTAGATTTGAATGATTTAAGCTAAAGCAACATGTTTCATTTGAAAGGCAATTCCATTGATCAAATTAATCATGCTTTGATTAATATCAGTTATTATTCCAATTATTTATTATTTTTTTGTAAGTTAAAATAAATTCTTAAATATAATCATTGTATCAATATAATTGTGCTAATGCTTCAATTAAATTAAAGAATAGCAAGCAAATAATTTTTTTGCATTACTCTATTATAATAGAACAATATATATATATATATATATATATATATATATAATTAGATAAAAAATTACACATAATTTAAGGAAATCAAGTCATTGATATCTTATAAATAATTGAGGCCACAATAGTTTAATATGATTAGAATCAAAGTAGTTGATATTTAAAATATAGCACTACATATGAAGTAATTGATGCACAATAAAAACAAAAAAATATCTTGATTGTCATATTATAATCAAATACTTGACTATTTTTGATATAAACTTATAGTTAGAAGATACTAAGAGTATATTTATGTATCACATTTATAATGTCATTGGAATAAAATAGAAATTCTTTAATAACAACTTTAATAATTGATTTATTTAAAAGTAATATAATAGGATAATACATGTCAAAATGAAAGTCCAAGGTGTTGATAAACAAAGTATTGATGATATATAAAAAAGGATTTATTATCTTTCTTAGATTTCAATTGTTGATATTCTATCCATTTCTTTAAGTGTTGCCACAATGACTATGTTTTGTAAAAAAATTAGTTGTGAAGGAGTTTAAATATTTGATATAGATTGTTGAATTATACTTGCATTGAATATCTTTTTTTTTATATCCAAGTCAATGGAATAGCAAGAAATATTAGACACTTTAGAAGGAGTGATGTCTTAAGCTTTACTCATTAATCTAAACTTTTTTATTTGCTTTGCATTGAATTCTTATTTGCTTCACAACATCATACTACTAAATGCAACTTTGTTTGCCTCATACACATCCTACTGTCACGGCCATAATCATGTAAGCTAATAATTACATATAGAAATAGGTAGAAGTAAGTAAAAGTAGATAAAAGTAAGTTAATTATATAATATTTAATATAGAAGCTTCCTAGAAACTTCCTAGACGCTGTTTTGACTTCATAGGTGTCTTTAATTGACTTTTTGGATTAGAAACGTGGTCAACAAGTTGGCCATGTGCCACACATGTTGTTAGCTTGAAGATCAAGCTAACTATGTAGACCACACGTAGAAAAACTTGCCTTGTAAGTCAAGGCATGTGTCCTACAAAGTCAACACATATTGGAGGTCCTATAGAACATCGCCACGTAGCCCCTAGTTAGATAGTATATATAGAGACAAGAGTGAAGGCTTCTTCACTCTTGTCAACTCCTTTCTTGCTTCTAGTCCAGGTTGAAGAGTCTTTAGTTTCTTGTCTTGTGGCAATAGCCATTCCAGTTTCCTTTTAATATACCTACTTGTTTATATTTTGACTTATTATATCGAGATAGCCTTTTGGTGTATATTTTTCCTCATCGAGTCTTTGTCCTTGACAGATTGACAAGAGTACACTTACAATATCAGAGCTTTGTTTTTTCTTGAGTAAGAGTGGATTACCCCTTTCTCTTGACAAGACATAAGCGTATTAGAAGTTTGCGGATTACCCACTTCTAAACTGATATTTTTCTTAGTATCTTCTTTGTTATCAAGTCTTTCTTTTCTTTTGTCTTGAGCAATATCAAACAAATTTTTCTTCTTAGTGTCATTATGGCAGAACTTGTTGAAATGAAGAGTGCAATGGCACAAATGCAAGAGCAAATGAGGGAGTTAATGCTTGCGATGCATCAACTCAATTCACCAACACATGAAAGAACAAGAATAGCAGAAAGTGGAGATATAGAGATGATCGGAGCTGCTTCAACATCTACAACAAATCACGTTCCTTCTCCAATTGTACAACACCCTATAAGCACTAGAGAACCAAGAATTGCCTTACCTGAGAAATTTGATGGTACGAGATCAAAGTTTCGAGGGTTCATCAATCAAGTACAATTGGCAATTGAACTTCAACCGCAAAGCTATCCAACTCCAGGATCACAAGTCAGGTTTATTGGCACTCTACTTTCTGGTTCTGCATTATCGTGGTTTTCGTCTTTTCTTGAACAACGAAATCCAATATTGGACAATTTGGAAGCTTTTTTGGCGGAGTTTCGATCTATGTATGGTGAACACGATGCAACTCGGGTTGCAACAAATAAGATCCGAATTCTACGACAAAGAAATTGCTCAGTAACAGTATATGCTTCACAATTTCGACAACTTGCAATTGACATCAAGTGGGATGATGCTGCACTCATCAGTCAATTTCTTTATGGATTGCAATACGAAGTAAAGAAATTGATGC